GGAGCTGGCAGCGATGGCTTTAGCAGAGGTGGGTGGTACGTCTGCGAAGCGGGGCCTCGTGAGCTGAACGTCCTCTGAGACACCTTTGGGCATCCTCTCCCACTGCAGGCCTTCATCCGGGGCACGAGAGGCTGTTTCTCCTTGGCGCGTCTCAGCGCGGGGCACTTGCCTTTGGGGAGGCCTGTGGCCTCGCCGTTGGGACGCTGAGCACTTGCTTAGCACCAAGTCCTGGCTGTGCGCCATGGTGTGCAAGCATTGTGCCTTGAGCTGGTGGGCACAGGCATCTGGGGGAGCTGCGAGCAGCTTGCTCACAAGCTCCTGGCACACTTCTTGGGCACTTCTGGAAAAAGCCACCCCCAGCAGGGACTCTGGCAGCTTTGCCTCTGTCAGGCGGGTTGACCCCCGCTCCTTGCATGCTGGCATGCCTCGCATCTCCCTTTGAGGAATGGTCTGTGCTCCCGGGACAAAGCAGGAGCGTGCGCTGAGCTGCCGGCTTTTCGCAGGAAGAGTTGTCCTGGCACCAGCCTCTCGCAACATCCTTGCTTTTCCCAGGGCTGATCCGGAAGAGGCAGGCCTGGGCTCAGGCAAGCAGCGGGCACGCTCTTGAGTTGCCCGGCGGGGAGCCCGAGCTTCCCGCTTGGCTTTGTGAAGGGCAGGCAAAGGCAGATGGGGTGGCAGGAGCTCTTCCTCTTCCAGGCTCTGCCCACAGTGCAGAGCCATCGCAGCAGCTCTAACAGGCAGGAAGTGTGCCGTGGCAGCAGCTTGGCTGGGATTTGTAGCCAGCCTCTCTACTCGCTTGCTCACACTCTCCAGATTTCTCCTTGCCACACCTTGGGTGCCCAGGGCATTGGCCCTGCGTCTGGAAGAAGATCTGCAGGAGGCTTCCCGAGCAGGCAGCTTGCTTCGACATGCGGATCCTGGTGTTTTAGCTGCAGCTGCAGAGGCCTGCAGGCCTGCCTGTGCCGGCCTAGCTGCCTTGGCTGCGAGAGGTGGTAAGCGGGGCGGATGCGCTGTCTCTGCTCTTGCACAAGTGCTGCCGGGCAGTGTCTCCCTGCGCCGCAGAGGAGGCGCCTTTGGCAAACCAGCAGAGGGATGAAGAGCTTGCATCGTGACGAGAACATCCGTGACAGTGTCCTCGGCCATCTGTCATCAAAGCCCACGAGAAACGCCCAGTTACTGCTGTCCTTTTCCCCTACCCTCCATCCGGCCCGCATGCAAACTTCCTGCCACCCCGGAGGCCCGCAACAGCAGCAGCTCTCTCCCTCGCAGGCAGCTGCTGCCCTGCTCCCAAAGGCTGGGTGGGGAGAGGGCTCGTCCCCATGGGGCAAGAGATGGGCAAAGGCAGCTCCCTGGAGGACCCTGTGGCATGTCCTTGCAGCGTGCTGCGCAGAGCAGGCAGTCAACCTGCCGGGAGCCAGAGACCTCCTGGTCTCTCCCAGCACTTCCCACCTGCTTCTGGGCAGCTACGGTCAGGCAGGCAGAGCCTTTGGCACCGTTGTTGCTCAGCTCTGTACCTTTGCAATGATGTGTTCAGAGGCTCGCGAGCTTTGTTGGCCGGGAAGCAAAGGCCACCTGTCCCTTTGGTGGGACGAAGTCGGGGTCCAGCTGCGCCTCATCGCTGTGTGCAGCACCTGCTGGCCCACCTGCGGGGGGAAGGCGGCACATGATGGGGGTGGTTGCATTGGTACAAGCAGCCCCTGAAGCACAGGAAACCCCAGCCCCAAGTCAAAGGGAAGCTCATGGCCAGGCACGGCGCAGCTGCACTTGGCCCAGAGCTGCTCTCTGACCCGCAGCAGAGCTCACAGGCTCCATTTTCAGCCTTGCAGCATCCCGGTCAGTGTGCTTTGTGCAAGAGGAAATCCCCAGCACCAGCAGTTAATACCCCCAGGACAGAGAAGATCATGCTTGGCTGTCTTGCCCCACCTCCCCTTCCCCTCCGTCCTCGTGCTCTCCCCCAGCTCCCATCCCTGCTGCCTGCCTCTGCCTGCCGCCCCACCGCTCACCTTGCTTCTGCGCTGCTGTGTGCCAGGGAGCCCGTCCATGGGCTGGGAGTAGGCGTTCGCCTGCCACTCCTTGTCCATCTCCAGGATCTGCTCCTAAGGGACCTGCCACTCTGGCACTGAGGGGAGCTGCTCCCTCCTGATCGAGCTGCTCTCCTCAGAGTGCGGGCCCCGGGGGACTCTGGCCCCAGCACAGTCACCACGAGCACCGCCCCATCACAATGGCCTTGGGGGCATGATGCCACCGCCATCACAAAGCCCTGGCCGTCACCATGGGGACCCCCATGACCATGGCCTAGCAGGCACCCATGAGGGCCCCCATCACAATGCCTTGGTGGTGACCTTGGGGACACCCGCATCACAATGCCTTGGCGGTCACCGTGGGCACCCCCATCACCATGTCTTTGCCTCCAAGCCTCTGGTGCCAGCTTCTGAGCACTCCTGGCAGCTGGCATCTGTGGCGCAGGATGGATTTGCCTCTGCACAGCTCTCCGCTCCCCAGGCCTTGCAGAGGCGGCCCTTCTTCACGCCCTCTACTGCAGACAGCCACTACAAGGCCACCCGTCTTGGTCAGCCAACTAATCCTCACCCTTACGCTCTCATCGTCCATCTCTACGCAGAGCTCCCTGCATTCCCCCTGCTCGCTCACAGAAAGACCCACTGCCCCTCCCCGCCTTCCCAGCGGGGCCTTCCAAGAGAGCCTGCATCCATCCACTGCAGCATTCCAAGCATGGCAGCCCCGTCTCCATGACCCCAGTGACACGGCAGGCCTGGAGCTGCACACAGGCTCCTAAGTCCTCCTGCCTGTTCCCCAGGCTGTGGGCATTAGCCTACAGGCATTGGGAGAGGTGCCCAGCTGTGCTGATTTCCCAGAAAAGGTGGGAGAGTTTTCCCCAGACTCTTCTTCTCTAAGCACTTCCTCCTTTGCGTGCATACACTGCAGTGGGCTCCTCCAGGGATTCTTGTCTCCCCATCACCCCACACCTTTTCCTTGTCCTCCCAGGACAGCACTTCCTCCCTCTGTGCATCATCCTCTCCCCTCCAGCGCTCCTAGTTTGGGCTCTCCTCACCCACCTGCTTGGCCACCTGCTTGGCACATGGGGACAGTCTCCTTCCTAATGAAGTGTGACAACCCGCAGCCTTGGTCCTTTGCTGCAGGCTCACCTTCGCATCCTCCTCCAGCTGCTGTAACCCCAGGCCAGCGGGGGCAGCAGGCACTCCCCTCTCCTCTACACCTCTGCCAACTCACAGGGCTCATTTTTAGCCAGAAATCCTGCTCACCACAAAACTGCAAGGACTCTCATGGGAAGAGAGCAGGACTATAGGCAACAGAGCACAAATGGCCACAGCATGGTTTTTTACCCCCTGAAGCTCCATGTGACAGCAACCCCTAGCCTACCTCCCTAAAAAGAAAGAGAGAGAGAAAAAAAAAGATGAACTCTAGTGCTGAGGTTCAGGAGATGGACTTGTTTCTCCCCATGCTCATTATTACCCACCAGCCCACGGCCTTGGGGCAGCAGCCAAGAGCATCGACGTAGCCTCTGGATGCCTCTCTCCCACCATGCCCTGGGACAGTCAGAATAAAATGAAGCCCTGGGGTATTAAAGGGGAGCAGGGGGATTAATACCCTTAATTAATTGCAATTTAGATGCAAGCTATCAACTAAAGGCTTTGGCAGAGACCATTTTATTTTCTTTTCTTCCACTCTAGTTCATCAATCGTCAGTGCCTGCTCAAATCTGCATGGCTGCTGTGGCTTGAAGCATGCTGTGGGCTTCCCTGTGCTGGGGCAAAGGCCACCCCCTGGCACTGGCTGAAGCCCCCGGTCCCTCTTGCACCGAGTCCCTCACACTCCATGATGAGGCAGCAGCATTTCCTCACAGTGCTCTTGTGCCAGCGGTCTGAGTGGGCAGCAGCCCACGCATCGCTTTGCTCCAATGTGCCAGCTCCTCTTTCCCAGGTGGTGGCACAGATCCCATCACTCTGCATGGCCAGCCTCTCCCCCATTCCCTTCCTGCCCTGCATGCTTCTGCCTTTCACAGCAACCACTCCTGCCGCCACCCCCACCCAGACCCAGCCAACCTTTCCCTCCACCTGCAGCCTGCTCCCACCAGACGACCTCTTCCATTTATGCTCCCACCCACACTGCTGCCTGTCCTTTGCCACATCCACCCTAGGGCCTCCCACAGCCCCACCCTTCCCTCCCCTCTATTCACCCACTGCCACTCCCTTTGCTAGAAAGCAGAAGCATCACTTCTAGACTCCTTCCGCTCGCCAGCAACAACCATTCTGCTGGTGTGCTCCGACTGCTTCAAGCTGCAGAGAGAATCACGGAAGCCAAGAGGGCAGGAAAAGCTCTTTCGGAAGCATGTCTCATGCAGCCTCTGGGACACTTGAGGTCTAGCCCTGCAGCTTCCCCAGAACCAAACCCTTTGCTTAGCAACCCCTGGGGACGTGCGCACCTGCAAGAGAAGCAGGTGTGAGGTCTTCCAGATGCGTGGGTCCCTGGTGGGTTGGTTGGAGGCTCCTAGACACCTGGATCCCCGGTGAGGTTGCAATGGGGATTGGACGCTCCCGGAGGCCTGGGAGACTTTCTGGATGCCTGGGTACCCAGTGGGGTGTCAATCCAGAGATTGAAGCCTCGCAGACCCCAGGGTTCTCTCCCTGGTCACCTAGGTCCCTGGTGGGGCTTCATGGGAGTGGGGGGGGGGGAAGCTGCCAGATGCCTGGGCCTATGGTGAGGTTTCAATGGGGTCAGGATGATGCTAGTGGGGTTTCAGTGCGGGGTTGCAGCCCCCTGGAGGGAAAGTTTGCAGCCTTCCTCCTCCATACCACCTTCTTCCCTCTTCTTCCACCCCCATGACCCCTTTTCCCCCCTTTTACCACTGCTATTCCCCATTACTACACCCCCATGCCCCCTTCTTCCCTCTTCTTCCACCCCTTTCCCCCTTCTTTGGTGCCATGCCCCCTTCTTCACTCTTCTTTCT